ATCAAAGTGAAATGACTCCTTTTTGTTCAAGGGAAATACTACCTATGAAAATTTTATAATTTTTTTCAGTTTGTTGTCTTTTAGGAAGTAGGTTGCATAGATAGGGAGGAGTAAGTTTTGTGGTAGTTTGGTTTTTGATTGTCAACAATGCTACAAAGAGCTACATGCAGCAGTTTGTCTGGTAGCTATTTAGATATTCCTCTTAATTTTGAGTGTGGCTTTGCTTAGTTGAAGTCTAATTTTTTAAGGTGCAAGTCAAGGTTTTTGATCTCTTGTCAATAATAAGAGTTCTTGTTTACTGTTTGCCACTGTCTGAGCTCGATTCCTTTTTAAAAAAGCAAAACAAACCCAAAAAAAAAAAAGCTTGTTTAACAAGCCAGTCCACAAATGGTTCAGAACTTGTTGATGCTCTCTGAAGCAGTCGGGTAGGTTCCTACAAGACTTGTAGAAAAAAGGAACTTGCCACAGAGTTTGGACTGTGGGAGAGAGCAAGTGTGGTCTTGCTCTCCAGACAGCCATGAATCCACCAGGCAGAGGAGAGGCTTTCAGTACCTACCCCAGCCATGGGAAAAACCTCACTGAGTTTGCATTTCATTGTATACCAAAGTCCTCAACTGTTTGATGTAAATCTGTAGGAAACTGGCTTTGGTAATTATGGTGCCCATAGCCTATGCCAGCACCACTCCCTTTATTTGCAAGGAGTACTGCTATCAACAGAGCTAATTATCCCACAAGCTTTCATAATGCTGCCTGTCCCAGTGTTGCTGTCCCTGAGGAGCAGTTGGAAATGGTGTAGGGCTGCTCTTACTGCCTGTTTTGGAACACCTGGAGAACTTGAAGTACCCTGTAGATCTGTATGTGAGCAGGGTGGTCTCCAAAATGGTCATTCTCTCTCAGGGAACTCTAATTTCCCTTTGATAGTTTTATTAGTTGGAAATAATGTTTCTTGTAGCCTTCTGGTGGGATGGAGAGTTCCAGCTGCAGGTTGTTGTTGGTAGTGGTGGCCATCTTCTGAAGCAAAGAGTTGTCTTGCTGATGTGCTGGTCCCTAAGGTGCACCAGGCTTCTGGAGCTATTGGAAGGGTGCCAGGAGGAGGGAAATGGGCCATTGCTTCTGGAGGGGGGTTATGAGAGGATTCAACAAGGAGCTTCTGCTCTGATTATGAAGCTCCTGTTGGGTGCGAGGAAGCTCAGAGTCTCCTGGTGTTCAGTGACAGGGAATTTGTGGCTGTAGTCCTTGTCCCTCTTCTCCTCTGCAGCTCAGTCCTGCTGCTGCCTAGGAGAGGCAGCTGTTGCTCATGCAGACACTGCGTGGTGGAAGAGTTGAGGAAGATGAAGGGTGGGAGAGGGCTGCTGCTCTTGCTGTGGCTCCACGTGCCAGCGCTTAGCAAAGCTGACTTGGCGAGGTGTGGGTGGCCACGTCTGCTTGCCTCCTCCTGTATGCTGAAACCATGTGTCCTGGGGGATGGCTGAGTTTAGAAAGGCAGGGACTTGGCAAGAGGTGGAGGTGGCTCTGCTGCTCCCTGAGCCGTCGGAGCCCTGCAGATCCCAGGACAGAGGGGCTGGGGGAGTGGGTGGGCGTGGGTCCTGCTGCGGCTGAGATCCCGTGGCATGAACAGCGTCTCATTTGGGGTGTAGATTGTTTGGGTAGTGGCAAGGAAAGGCGTGGCCCAGGTGCCACAGGGAGGGCTGGGCTGTGGTGAACAACTTGAGAGACCTGGCCTAGAAAACCTGAAGGTGGCTGCTGGCTGTGGAGAGGAAAGGGGCAAATTCTCTGAGCTCGCTTTCTTCTGGTAGTTGTCTGACCTCTTTTTACCCATGCCAGATCAAAATAAAACTTGCAGGCCTATAATTAAAGCGTAACAAATAATAAAAGTGCCACTCGGTTCTTTCTGCCCTTTTGTGCAAACGAAATTCAGAAACTGGCACAAAGCAAACCTGCATGAGAGCTTGTCAGCCCTAATGGGGATGAATGAACTAAACTTTCACTTGGTTTTTGTTTCCTTCCTATTTAAACTTTCCAAAAGGCTGTTTAACCTTGACTGGCTTCTTTCATTCTCTTGGTTTTTTTTTTTCAGAAGATAATTAGATCCCCCAGAGACCTTAAAACCAAGTAGCCTTTCCCAGTGACCATTGTTTTGTGAACATGAGAAAAAACAAACAAAATAACCCCACTAGACTGGTTTTAACTTTCAGTGAAACTACTCACATTCACTAGTGATTAGCACTTATACAGATACAGGGTTTCACTACAGGATGGAAAGCTAGTGGTGATACTTGTATGCATGTCTGAAAAAGTTGTTGCTGTCTCAGGTGTTCAGATAAAAATACTCATAGAAAGAATGTTGTCTTCAGGCAGGTTAAAACCTGCTGGTGTATTCCTGGTAATAGTGTCTTTGAAGGAGAGCATGTCTGTTCATTAGGAAGGTTTAGGCTGCAGAAACAAATCCTCCCTCTTTTGAGGGCTGGTGTGCGAGTTGCCTGTGGATCATATTGATGCATCTTTTCAAGAGCTGGTCTCTGGTGATGAAGATGTGCTGGGTTAATTGAGCTCTGCTCTTCTCTTGGGTAGGGTTAACAACGAGTTTCCAGGTATGTGTAGGTCTGGCATGAAATAATGGTCATTTACTCCTGTTGTTTTCCTGCTGTGCTGGGGAATCTTTCAGTATTCCAGAAAATTACAATGGTCTCCTCTGTGAAAATGGGTGTGGGAGAGCAAGTTCCATTGCAGCCCAGCTGAAAACCTCTTATTATGTCTCTCTATCATCATGTACTAAAGGAATATTAAAAAAAAAGGTCTGTTTTTATCACAGAATGGTTTGGATTGAGAGGGACCTTAAAGATCATCTAGTTCCAACCCCCTGCCATGGCCAGGGACACCTTCCACTAGATCAAGTTGCTTGAAGCAGTGTCCAACCTTGCCTTGAGTGCATCCAGGGATGGAGCATCCACAAACTTCCCTGGGCAACATGTTCCAGTGTCTCAGCACCCTCATGGTGAAGAGCTTCTTCATAATTTCTTACCTAAATTTACCCTGTTCCAGTCTGAACCTGTTACCCCTTGTCCTAGCACTGCAAGCCCTTGTATAAGGTCCCTTCCCAGCTCTCTTGCAGGCTGCCTTCAGGTACTGGAAGGCTGCAAGGTCTCCCCAGAGCCTTCTCTTCTCTAGACTGACCAAGCCAAACTCTCTCAGCCTGGCCTCACAGGAGAGGGGTTCCAGGCCTCATATCATCTTTGTGGCCTCTTCTGCACCTGCTCCAACAGGTCCATGATGTTCTTGTGCTGGGGGCTCTAGAGCTGGATGCAGTACTCCAGGTGAGGTCTTATAAGAACAAAGTAGAGGGGGAGGGTCACATCCCTTGACCCTCTATGTTGTAGAGGACTTATATTTGAGATCACTTCCATCTGAAATCTGTTCTTGTTTGTGCTCACAAACATTCAGCAGTCCTGCAGTTCAGGCCACAGGTATTTGGAGAGTGTGCAGGTAAAGGTTTAAACTGTTTTCCTGCATGACAGTGGGTGATCCTTGCCTGAAGGAAGCAAGAAGGAAGCCTTCTGCAGAGCACTGCTCCACAGCCTGAGCAGTGGGACCACGTGCCTTCATCCACTGCCCTTTTCTCATTTGTTTGTGAAAGGGTACGAGGCTCTCCAGGCACATTCTCGTGTTACAGAAACTAGTTAGTTACATATACAGACTGTAATAATTTAAAAAGGGTTCTGGGTCACTGCATTGCTTTTCAGGGCTTGTCTTAGGAGCTGCTCGTACAGCACTGAGTGACCATGAAGCTTTTGCAGGGCTACAGATGATCCTCCTCTGCAGGTAGTGTGGTGGATGTAGGGCTGAACTACTTCTAAGTGTATCCTTAAACAGACAATGACTTCTCCAAATTTTATTTTAACCTCTTTTGCTTTGCAGGGAGTTAGTCACCTTTAAATCTTACTCTGTCTTCTCCTTTGCAGATTCTTTTCCTGACTGTGATGTTAGTTTTTAATCAAAGACTGCAGGAGAGGGATATATGTGGTCAGTGTAGAATAGACCTCACCAGCAGGACAGATGAAATTTGTAAGTGGGATGACATCTGTGGCTGTTCCAGGAAAAGTCTGAGATCTCTGAGGATTGGGAGTGGGAGAGACAACTCTGCAGTGAAGTAAAGCCCTAAGAGACCTTCACAGACCAGCTGAGAGTTAGCAAGAATGTTATAGGTGGTGACAGTGCTGTGATAAGAAGCATCTACCTGCCCTAAATCTTCAGGGTGGGTTGGCAGTGAATTCAATGCTTATGCACTGCAAAGAAATTCCCAGCTCATCCCTTCCCTGGGGAAGGAGCTGTGTCCTCCTGAGGCTTCAGACTTCTCTGAATAATTAATCCATTGGGTCTCTGTCCTCAGAGAGAGATGAAAGAACTGTTGAAGGCTACTGTGTTACACCTGATACAGGAAGTGATTAGTGAGTCTTCAGATACAGTCACATAAATTAAAATCACTTGCATCCTCCTTCCTTAATAATAGATGAAGCCTTTAGGATTAGAGTTTGAAAAAAAAGGGGAAAAAAACCAGCTGAAACTAAGTAGAGTAAAATTCCTTTTAACTTAGTTTTACTTGCCCCTAAATGATTTTGTTTTTCCAAATCACCCCTGTTGCTCCTCTTGTCTGTTCCTGTGTGAGGTCTGGGGAGGGGGATATTCTGAAACTGCAGAGAAGATTTAGGAATTGTTCTTCCAAACTCCTTTGATTCTAGAGGCAAAGAAGTATTTCTACGACTGAACAACTCGGTATTTCATTTGTAGTTGATTACCTTATTAATGATTAATAAGATTTCAACCACTGGTAGGTAAGGATTATTCAACTACTCATAATTCAGGAAATACAGCTTACCATGGTTACTTTTTTGGTTTTGCCCATGCATTTGGTCACAGCATCCTGATGTCACCAAATTGTTGCTCTCCTGTTCTGTGTTCCATGTGGTGGTGGTGGTTTATGGCAATTTTTTGTTTCCTTCTAGGTATAATGGATCCCTCCCAAATGGTGACAGAGGACGCAGGAAAAGCAGGTTTGCCCTTTACAAGCGACCGAAGGCAAATGGAGTTAAGCCCAGCACTGTTCATGTGATTTCCACTCCCCAAGCATCAAAGGTAAGAGTCAGTGGGACAAATCCTGGTTTTTCTGATGATCCTGGGTAGAAAACAACTTGTGTATTACTGCTGATTTACCCTGCTGCTGTTCCATTCTGTGCTAGTCAGATAGATTTGTTTGAATGACAAGTCTGCAGTGGATTTTCTTTCTGGGGGTGCATATCTTTAATCCAGTTGCCTGTTTAAAATCATCTTAAACCTCAGCAAGACTGACCTTTCTGTGCCTGTACTGAAAGCTGACTCTCTCAGTGCTGACTGTATCTCAGACAAGGAGTAGTCAGGTGATGTAAATACAAAAAGTATTTAAATTTCTTTCTCACTGGAGTGTAAGATTGGTATGTCTCTTTCCTCTTCAATAAGATAACTGACACAGTATAAAAAAACTATTGTGATCCTGCTGAGCCTCTCATTTTTCTTGCTACTAATGTTACTGTACACGTTTTTACCTGAGGTTTAAGGCAGATGAAGGGGGAAAAGCAGTAAAGTAAATATGTTAAGATAGTAGTTTATGGAGGAAAAGCAGTATGTCTATTAACATAATAATGTATTAAGGTATAGAACTGTTCAGGTGAGATTTCTGGTGGTGGAACATAGTTCCAAGCTGCAAAAAGTGATGCTGTCTTCTCTCAAAGCCTTCTTTCTAGAAGCAAAAAGTTATTAGTGTTGGGGCTGCACTGGAGGAGCAGTTCTGTGGTGGCACTCTACAAAGTGGATGGTTTGTAAGAGCTGTACATCACTTTTCCCAAAATGCATAGTGTGAGAGAGAGAACCTAAATACACCATTCTCAGAAGTGGTGGGGAGTGTACAGGACCTGCTTAGCGTGGCTAAATATTTAGCCTTTTTGGATTAAAAGTGTCTGTAAATATTTTTCAGTGTTTGCATTCTAAAAATGAAAGCATTTGGGTTAAATCTTCCTGATGAAATCAACACTCAGAACAGGGCTGTAGTGTATGTTTGTTGGTAACTGTGGTCTGCTGCTTAAAATGTAACAAATGGGGGGGGGGAAATGTTTTGCATAGCTGATGGAAATACAGACATGTTCTCACTGGATAATCTTAAGCATTTGGGCTGCAGATCTGTTGGCATTTGAGTTGCAACAATATTTAAACACCTCGCAGACGCTGCAAGGTGTCTGGTTAATGTTCCTCCACATTGTTGCTGTAGGGCAGAGAAAATGTGTGCTGCACAAATGAATGCCCTTATAATGATAGCACGGGGGCTGAGGGATTAAAGCCACCCCCCCCCCCCCCCAAAAAAAAACCCCCCCCCCTTGAGGGTTTGGGTTCAGGTAGGTGTGCCAAACTGAACCTATTCTTTTGCACTTTCTCTGAACCCTTATAAAAGAGCTTTTGTCTATTTATACTGTTGTCTGGGGCCGGGCTGGTGGCCCTGTGCCAGAACAGTGATGCGGTGGATTTCAGTTAATGCTCTTTCGTTGCACAGAAAGGACACTGACAACTTAAGACACTTTTGGAGGCTTTTCTGACATCTTAGGCAGCAGAACCTGAGTCTGTTTTACCAAGAATGGTTTCTGCATGCAACTTCTGGAAGAGACTGCAGAAACACAGACTAGCAGAGAAAAGAGCAAACTGCTTTGTTACTAGAAAATCATGTGCAACTTGACCTCAAAAATTTTGTTCTGTTCTCAGTCTTCCAGTCTAAATCTTATTTAAGGAAGATAAAAGAGTGGGAACTTGTGCTGCACAGGATATTAACAAGTTTCCTCCCTTTACATCCTTCCTTCTAGCCTCCCAGATACCAGTTCTCTGTTTTGCTTTGCTTGTCTGTCGCTGTGTAAACTGAATCTTGGTGTGGAAAGCAAACGTTACTGTGAGAGTACTGCTGCTTTTTGGGGGGGTGGAATTGGCAGAGGTGGGTAAAGCACTGACTGTCTCCATTTGTTTTGTCTCTGCCGTGGCACGGGTGCTGGAATTAAGTGCATGGCTGGTTTTGTGCTAATTCCACTAATGCAGCAGCTCAAGAACTGGAGCTGTCACAGATTTTTCAGTTAGCGTGTCAGCCTGAAAACTGCAGTAGATTGTGAGAGGATGCTGAAAACTGCAATAGATTGTAAGAGGATGCTTGTCATGTTCCATTGTCCCTGCTATGCAGGTGTCAAGGACAGCTGGATTAGCAATGGCTCCAGTAGTAAATTTAGCTGAGCTAATTGCACATGAATCAGTGCCTTTTGTTTTTTTCCATTGGAGTGCCTGTGTTTTGCCACTCTGCCTTCTAGAGGCACTGGAGAAGATTTAGGATTGTTTGGCCTTCTGAGGATACACAGGTATGTTCGGGGGGCTAACACTGTGTAGGGTAAGAATTTGAGTTTCTTTTCTAGTATTGTTAAAGTATGCATGCATCTCTTCAACCTTATGCTGAGGCACCACTCGGGGAATTTTCTAGTGTCCCCTCTTTTACAAAACTCAGACCAGTTGTTTGAGACAGACTTCCTGCATCATTGTCACAATTGGTACTACTGTTAGAAGGGAAGCTTAAAACTCTTATGCTGTCTCTTATGTGCATGTAACTGTCTGTGGCAGGGAGGGGGGAAGTGTGAGACTTCTCATTTACTAGGTATGAACCTTAATCAATATTTTAATAACCCTCTTTGTTAGATGAGAGTTTGTTTCAAAGTTAAGTCAAGTCACAGGAGAGGCCATTCCTTGCATTTACTTGGGCCTCCTGATGAGGAGGAAAACTGTCATCAGTCATGACTGAGGTGAAAACTTTCTGACTACCAGACTCTTGGGTCTAAGTTTGTTACTAGACCATCATGACATAGCTAGGACTGCTGATTTTTATTTTCAAGCTATTAGAGCTATTTAACAAAATCAGAAGTTTGTTGCAATGTTTATTTTTTTTTGGTTGTGTTGTCTTAACTGTTGCTTTCACACACCACAGTTAATGCCATGGAACTGGGGTCTGGGTCTGCTGGTGTCTGAGGTGATGATTCTGTGATTCTATGACAAGGTTGGCTTGTACAGAATATTATTCTTAAGTAGATGAATAATATGCCCTGCATAAATAGAACTGTATGATCCCAATTTCTGCTAAGCAAAGATGTTCATGTTCCTGTGCACAGCCAGTTTGGTTCAGTGGGCTGGTTTAGGTTACCACCTTCCCCTGTGCAAATACAGGTGGGTCTTCCCTTCTTCCCTTCCTAGTCATGATAACTTTGTTAGATATTGTTCCTTGGAGTTCTTTTTGTGAAACGTTGGGAGAGAACTCCCCCAGTTCTGTGTGGGAGGCGTGCTGGCAGCTGGCATTGACTGTGGGTTTCCTGGTGAAAACCCTCAAGCCATGTAATTCCCCGTGACCTTAGGTGTGCATGCATTTAGATTTCATCATTGGTTTCTGGTGATTTGGAACCACTTCCATGGGTGTGAAGTTTAGAAAAATGAAGATGGGGCTTCATGTGCATTTGAGTTACTTGAAGTATGGCTTTAGGAAAGATGAATTGTTGGTGTTAGCCCTCCAGGATTCCCTAGGATTACTCTGGAAGCATGAATGAATTCTGAGACCTTCCAAAGTACTGAGTCAGTGGGCAAGAGAATACAGCTGGCAAGCACTAGAAGTACCAGTTTCTAACAGGTGAATGTTGGTGCTTTGATACCTAAGCATTTGCGTTTGTAATGCTGACTTAATAGAAGGTTGCAAATGTCCTTTAAATTTCTGCAGAGTACAAAAAAAACCACCTTTAATATCTTTTTATGGTGGGATGTCTCAGTATTTATGTCTGTCTTCCTTGGGATCAAAGATTTCCTTTGGTAACCTGTGGTAGATAAAGACAACCTATTTTCTCCCTTATGAAATTACTATTTCAGGCTGACTGGGGAAGATCTTCTTGACTTCAAGTCCAATTACCTGCCGAGTTGGCTTCTGCTTTGTGCTATCACAACAGCAGCTTGTACAGTCACTGGCTGCGTTCCTGCAGCTCCAATCAAGTCTCATGCTGCTACTGGAGAAGAGCAAAATGCAGCTACACGAATAATTATTAGGTTGGGGGAGAGAGCTGCAATTTGTGCTTTGAGTGACGAGGGAAAATGAGAGTATAGGCTTCTTGTGATTATCTGCTGTAGATATTGCATCTGCTTTGAAGTACTTGGTAAATTTTGAGTAAAAAAAGACCAGAAATTCTTTTGGCACTGACAGCTTTTTGGTGCTCATTCTGGATGGGAGCTGCAGAGCTCAGCTGCTGTCAGGAGGATCCTGGGTCTGTCAGTGGCTTCTGTCTTTCCTGTTGGGCTCATTTGTGGTGTAATCAGTTCACGGAGCACTAATTTGTTCTGAAGTAACTTAATCACATGGGTGTCTTGAGAGTCCCGAGTTGTGCAGAGGCAGCTTTTTCTTGGCTCATCAGACTGAGTCTGCTTGAATAATAGTTGCCTTGATGTCATGTCCTGTCCTTTTCTTCTATTAAGAGAGCATCATCTTCACATGCTAAGTCCCTATCCTTTCCCTTTGCAGGGAGAGTGGGAAGTAGGGAATGGTGGTTGGGCAGCAGAAAATGGTTAGGCCAATTTCATTAGTAGGGCTTAATAAATAACAACTGTGACTTGGTTGGAGTTTGCCTTCCTGAGCTTTTGGGACCTACTGAACAAAATGCGTGTCAGAGGTTTTGGAAAATCACTGTAGAGTGTTTTCTAATAAAAAGCAGATGTGTTGTGAGGAAAGAGGAATTAAAAATTGCTGAGGACTACAACAGTTTTATGACTTAATGCTTTTTGTTTTCATGCTCTCCCTTCAGAGGGTAGACAGAAGATCAAAAAAATGCTTTCCTTGTAAACTCTGTCTAAGCTACATCTGCTTTAAATCACACTGAGACCAGATTCTGCTTGGATGTGGGTGCTCTTTGAAAGCAGAGGAAGGTGCAGTGATCACTGGGGCTGGTGTTAAGGAACTTGGGGGTGTTGTGTTTGCCAACAACATCCACAACTTCCACTTCACTTCCCACAGGGAGCCAGGCTGCGTGTCCCACCACTGCACAATTTCTGTCAAG